GCCTGGCTGGAAGTCAGAATTTGATGTGATCTCCTGTCACCTTGTTTCCCTCTTCGACAGGAAATGTAAGGAATTTCCTTTCATCTGGAAAGGTACAACTTCAAATTTACGGCACTGACTGCCTCTAAAACCCCAGACATGGCTTGTACACTGCCAGATAATTTTTGGATAGCACCTAGAGCTGTATACAGACAAAGAAGGTGCCTTTCAACACCTACACACATCCTCGGCTTCAAGTGGCCCACTTCACACCTACAGCATGACTTCTTACAGACCTATTTCTGCCACACACCCACTGCTGGGCACACGCTCTCCAAGGCTGAAGTAGGGAGGAAGGAGAGCGGCGCTTTTGTAAACTCGTCAGTGATGGTGCTCTGTGATAAGTGAGTGAGTGGACGTGGAAAGACATCTGTTTTTACACCTGAAGAAAAGCTGATCTTGATAAGACACAATGCTTCAGATGAAGTTAGGGGCCTCACTGGGGTGATAATATGGTCTACCATGGCTTCATGTGCAACTGAATTGAACATGAATAGGTTAGAAAATCCTTTCCTTGTTTGCACATTAAGAAGATTCGGTTAATTATTATTTGTGTGAGGGTTAAATTTTTTCTTTTTCTTGTTTAAATACGTGTTAGTAACTCTAATCTTACCCTTGGTGCTTCTCCACACTATGGTTACAAAGAGCTTTAATGAGCTGACTCTGTTACTTTTTCCTTGAACTGTCTACTCTCTGGGGACAGTCTTTGCAGTATAATCTTAGGTTGCTTTTTTTTTTTAAGATGAATACTTTTTTTTTTCTTGAGAATGGTATCTAATTATCATTGATCCAGGGAAAAAGGAAATGTTCGTCTGTGCAAGCCAGTCATTAAAATAAGGTGATAAGAGTATTAGAGACATGGCACAGTGATTAGGAGCACTTGCTACTTTTCCAGAGGACTGGAGTTCAGATCCAAGCACCCATGTTGGGCTACTCACAACCTCCCGTTACTCCAGTTCCAGGAGATCTGACACCCTCTTTTGGAACCTGCATGAAAGTACACGCTTACACACACACACACACACACACACACACACACACACACACACACACCTCAATAAAGAATTCTTAAAAGCATTGAGATGATTTGTACATTTAAAAAAATAAAATAACTTTACAAAATTGAACTTACCTTTGCAAATTCAAATACATAATAGTCCACTTTCATCTCTGTGGCATTGACTCATGTCTTGTTTAGGTCCAGGGAGTCAAGTAAAAGCTTCCTGTATAATAGAGGCATAAAATACAATGAAACAAACCGCTCTGGTATTCTAGGAAGCCAAATAAAATCTTGAACAAATCAAAGTCACAAAGCCAGAATGAAAACCTAACTAGAATTTTGCAGAAGTCTCCCCATTCAGTACCCACTCACTTCTCTCCCATGTTCATGTGAATAAATAGATTTTTTGAGCTAAAAGGAATACAGAAATTTAGGAACTGGCTCTGACATTGCTTTGTTGAGCACATCTTGCTGAGTGAATTTTGGGACTGCACGCGTATTCCAGCTTTATGCTCTGTAAGGGTGATGAGGGCCCCTCTGCTCTATACACAGACATGGCGTAGTTGACAGGCAAGTTCATCTGGGTTTAAGGTTGTTTCCTCTAGAGTGTTCCCTTGTGAGTTCTTACTACTTAAAACCAAGTTCACTAGTGATAGCATATTTTGTATTGTGTGTTGCACATGGGCACTTTTATCTGTTCCCCCTAAATGCCGTGTTTATATATATGGAAACTGAGGTTTAGGGAGTATGTGAACCAGCTCAGGTTTCTGGACGACAGCCAGCATGGCAAGTTCTGGAGTATACGACACACCATACACTGGGTGCCTCTACACAACAGACATTTTCATTTTCAGGGTTCTGGGGGCTTCACAGGCCAGGATCAAGGTGCTGACTTGAAACTGTGGGTCTCTTCCTGCCTTTAGATGGCTGCTTTCTTATGTGTCATCACGTGGGAAGAGGCCTCTCTGATGTGTGTTCTTACAAGGACATAGTCTGTTAGATCAGGGCTCCATCCCGTTGACCTCAGCTTTAATCCAATGGCAGTCACATTAGACATTAGGGATTTAACAGGTGTACACAGTGGGACACACTTTAGTCTGTATTCTTCTTAAACCCTCAGAGCCAGGATCTGAGTCTGGCACTGGGGCAGTGAAGTCAATATTCTTGTTATTTTTGTGGATGGTTAGCAGGCTGGTCACTGTTTCTTGAAGAACTTCCTACCTTTCTCTCTGTGTCCTGGACTCAGCACATCTTAAGTCTCTCTACCAAATCGCCCATGTCCCTCAGGGTTCACTTCATTCATACTAAGGATGGATTTCTACATATAAACAAAGTGCTCCAGGTAAGAAGAGGATTACTTGCCTCCATATAATGGAAAGTTAGTTTTTGTAGCACATGGCAGGCAGTCTTTTAAAGAGATCTGTTCTCAAACTCAGGTCACTCTCAAGGAACATGATAACCCCTTTGGAATGGCTTTCTTTTCTCCCTTCCTCCCTTCCTCCCTTCCTCCCTTCCTCCCTCCCTCCCTCCCTTCCTTCCTTCCTTCCTTCCTTCCTTCCTTCCATCCTTTCTTTTATTGGTTTTTCTTCCTCGATGCTTCAGGAAATGATGATTTAATTAATTTAAAATGTAACTCCTTTCTTATTTTTATTTTTACATTTCTTTTACAATTTTTACATATAAGACGTGAAATATAAACATGCAGTTAAAAGCTGTCTTTTGGTCTCAAGAAAATGAGAGAAAAAAGATGCATTAGTATAGAAACAGTCTTATATGTATCTAACTATGACCCACATGTAGTATTTAGGTCTTAAAGGAATGATCTTGAAAAACATGACAGGCCTCTTCAGAGAGAAGAGTGAGACAAGAATTTGAAATGTGCCCATTTTGTCCCATGGGCAGTGATGCACACCTGGGACTTGGATGCTGGACAGCTTGACCAGATCATCTTCAGCATCCCCTCCTCACAATGATATAGAGACTGAAGGGGAATGGAAAGCAGGCACTTACCATTCTCTGAAAGTAAATACTAGAGGAAAAAAAGAGAAAAACACACAGAACTTCTGATACCTAAACAGTAAAACACTTTTGTAAGCCAACAATTTGAGGGAAAGCTACATTGTCATTGGCAGATTGGTGCTTCACCACATTGTATCACAGATGACACTTCTGATCAGGATGTTATTTAAAATATGTAGTAAGTGGCTTGGCACAGGCCTTAAGAATTAGAACAGAGAGCAGAACCATAGAAATTGACCAGTTCATAATTAGTGGGTGTGAGCTGACTGATTTGTATGGGCAGCGAGAAGATCTGTCTTTGACTGATATGTATAGTCATGGAGTATAAAAGTAAGTATGCTTATTAAAAGATTCAGCTTGTTAAATGCATTTCACAGCTTATATAGTGAAAATTGCTTCCTCATTTCACCAATTAACCATTAAGGTCTATAGTCTATAGTCAAATATAACAATTCATACAATTTTAGTTTTCATCTGTAAAACTAGGTTTGATTGATGCTTTGAAATAGTAACACACTTACATAACTGTAAAGTTCCTACAGGACAAAGCATTATCCATTAATTGTGTTACATGCTTCCTAGCCTCTCTAATATCCCTTTTAACACACACGCCACACACATACACATGCACACACATATTTATGATGCACTTGCATAGATATACATGTACTACACGAATACTTTCATGATCCATTATTGTTTAGCTACTGAAGTCACTGCCACTCCCTTTAGAATTACACTTCCCTGTCCTCTAAAAGGTGTGTGTTTGTGAATTCTAACTTGGATTTTATATGTTATAGTGGACATGGTTTTGCTTCTGTCTTAATGCAGTTCCAAAAGTAAGGACTCACGTGATGGTAGAATTTCACCATTCTCTAATTTGGCTCCTTCTTTTGATTAATTCTGAAGACTTGATAATTCACATTTGGCAAATTCTCCTTAGGCTGAATTCACCTTGACTTGTAGTGCACATATTCCATTTGAGCTTGAAGCTTTTCTAATTCTTGTAAACTCTGGCAGTGACCTTCCAAATGACTTTTAGATGCATGTTTGACTTCTATGCTATTTAAAACTTCTCCTTTTCACTTTTGTTTTGATTCTACCTTCCCTCCTCTGCTTCTCTGTGAAACCAGTTCTCTTCAAATGACTCGAATAATAAAAAATAAAAATGAACAACTGTTGTCAAGTACCCTGGGATGGCACATTAGAACAATGGGGCCATCCCGTGCTATCTTAGCTTGCCTGTTCCCTTCCTACCCAGCCCATTCTTTCCCCCAAAGCTTCAGCTATGTCCAGTCCCAGATATGACCAACATCCTGCACTGTACATACTGCCTTTCCCTCCCCATTCTGCCCTGTAGAGCTAATGGCTAATTTAAGTAAGGACAGAGCAGCCTGAAGACAATCAGGCGAATGTCATAGGGCTACAGTCCAAGTGATAGAATGTCTTTTTGATGAACTTTAACGAGCTAGGGTGTACTTTGGGGGAGGAACCCTACCGGGCTTTAGGGGGGACGACATGACCAGCACGTGTGATGCTTACAGCCATAAGAGCCAAGTGTCAACGCAGTCTCTGTCTTGTGTGCCAAGGCCCTATCATTAAATGAGGGTGTGGGAAAAAAAAAATGACAGAGAGCAAGGGTCTTATTCTTTTCCTTTTTCCTTTCTTTTAAAAACTGAAAAATTCTGTTTTGAATACATGTAGTCATAGAGTATCAAATTCTCAGTGTTCTGGCTATTTGAGGGAGAAAAAAAGTAAGCTGATTCTTCTTCTTCTTCTTCTTTTTTAATTGTAGAAAAGGAGCATGAGGTTCTCTGAGGAGCCCTGGGAAGTGGGAGTGAACTCCTAGATAGGGTTGGTGTAACTGTACCTCAAACCACAGCAGTCACGTGGTTCCTTTCTGCTTTGCTACTTTTTTGACTGCCTGTCAGAGGTCTGTGCACTTGGCTTTCCCGCTCCTGCAAGGCCACTGCAGCATGTGCTGGCGGGATTAATCTTGGTCCACCATGTCTTTGCAAAGGCTTCTACAGCAGCAGAATGGCAATGGCAACTTGGAGTACTGTACTGATTCTGCATACAGCTCCTACTCCGCACTCACTGGCCCCCTCACAATGGAAGACAACAGACGGATTCAAATGCTGGCAGACACTGTGGCTACTTTGCCTCGGGGACGAAAGCAGGTATGATTGCACTTCTATCTAGAATGTTCATGTTTGTCTGACTGCTGCTGAATGTGGTATTTGCTCCTGTGTGTCTCCATGAATTCCTTGACTCCTGGCCTCAGTCCCCATCCTTAATAGTCATTTTGGTTCTTATTCAAAAGAGAATTCTTTCTCCCCCACTGAGGACAAGCTCTGTCTACTAAGTCAATTGACTTAGGAGTCAATGACTGAGAGTATGTGTGAGGAAGGAGGTGACATTCCCAAAAGAGAGGGTGTAGCAGTCCAGAGATGGAAAAGCAGTTTTTTAAAAAAACTTTTTTTAAAAAAGGAAGACTTAAATATTTCTTTTTAACTTAAGGATGTGCTCAGGTAAAGTGAAGTCGTTGAGCACAACAAGCTTGAAGACGGTTTGCAGGAACACAGCCAGCACCATTCTCCGTTTGTGTCTCCATAACTCTCTCCCTCCTAGTCTCACCTCCAGGCTTTCGTAGTCCTATTTGTTCCCAATCAAGAGAAGACATCTCCTGGAACACAAAGGTTATCAACTAAGTAAATTCTTCAGCTCCAGGGCTCATGGGAAGTAAGACTTGTGTGGGGTAGAAACCAAGCTTGGCTGCTGAGTTTTTGAGGCATCTCGAGCAAGTTGCCAGCCTCCCTCACATTAAGTCCTTAAAAAAAGGAAGACGTTATTACACTAAATTCCATTCATTGGATTGGGCAACAGCAGAAACACCATCCTTGGACTGTCTGCTCCTTAAGTGAGGAAATATGTAGGGCACTCGGCACTTGGTAAGGATTGTTTGGACATATTTATTGCATAAAATTTCTTTAGAGATGAACACTCACTTGGGAAAATCTATGTCCATGTGAATTGGTTCTGAATTTTTGGTCTTTAATTAACCATACACCTCTTTGTGTATTTTGATCATATAAATTGCTATGAGGTCCAAAGTATATATTTGGATGTACATACAGCAATTGTGCACAGATGTTTAGAATTGACTGAGAGCATGAGGGTATCCCTCTGGGGCCTGCATTCTTGTGTATACTGTGTTCTCCTCTGAGTGCTTTTAACTTCAGCATTACAGAGTCCCAGCTTGGAGGATAGGCAGGTTCTCCTTCAGTGATATGGTTGGTGAACTGATTTCTTAGCATTTTCCATAGTGATGAAGAGGATGGCATCATTTGCCGAGATTTGGTTATCACTCTCAATTCAAAGTGCTTTCGTGATACAAAGCTTGATGAACATCTCTATCAACTTATAAATGAGTATCACAGGAAACACCATCTTTACTCAGATTCCAGATAGCGAACAGTCCATTTCTGTTTCTACTTGCCATGAAGCTGTTAAACTAAATTCTGTTCATTTACTTAGTCTATGATTTGTTCTCTGGGTACATTACTTACCAAGAAAGCAACTTGCTAATTTTTGCATCAAGGGCAGGATCTTCCCACTTCTCTTTTTGAGTTGAGGCATTACATCATACCGGACCCCTGCAAGGTGAAAAACTTCCAAGTAGCTAGATCAACCATATGGGCAAGTTTCCTTCCTGGAGAAGGGTTACAGTTTAGGGACAGAATGAACGGCAGATAAACCATCCTGCAGTCTGTCTCTGTCTGGTACTCCTAAGCAAGGAACTCCCTAAGGTGGAAGGACAGAATCTTGTGCTTTGGGGCAAATTTGTTTAGACACACAGTGATTAGTGTATCAGGAAGATCTAATGTGCCTCTGAGAGGAGAGAGACAGACTAGACTCATGGGTAAATTTCCTTGAGAAAGCAGTGCGATTGGCCTTTGCTATCCATGGAGCACTGGTTCCAAAAACCACCACCCATGAAAATCAAAGGCCACAGATGCCAGAGTCTCTGATATAAAGTGGCAGACTATTTGCATATAAACTACTAGGCTCCAGTGTATTACCTAAGACAATATCATTGGCTATAGGAATAGCTGTCACATTATATCGTTTAGAGGATGGCAGAAAAGAAACATATACACGTTCAGTGCTGATACAATGTTTTGTTTCTATGGAGGGTTTTCATCTGCAGTTGGTTTAATGAATGGATGCAGAGAGCTGACTGTGGTTGCCCCAGCACCCAGAGCCACTGAATAAGGTTTGAGATGTTGTGGATTTTAGGAACTTCATTCTACAAGAGTGGCAGGGTGGCTTTTACAGTAGTTGGAGAAAGAGGAAATAAAGCAATAGAGAGGAAAGGTAAAAACTTGGTGATGAGTAGCACTAAAGACCAATGAGGCAGATCCAGCTTTTAAGCCTGAGTAAAGATAATATGAATTGGAAAAGGACAACCAGGAGGATTGAGTGATTATTGGAGGGAATGATAAGAGGAATTTAGGCGTATAAAAATATGTGAGCATGCAGACTTCCTATACAACTAATGAATGCCCAAGCTCTTCTCTATTTCTTCTTTTTCTCTTCTTGTATTCTTTAACACACTGTGCACGCACTTCCCCTATTCTTAAAGCTTTTCCTGGCCTGGCAGTGGTGGTACACACCTCTAATCCCAGCACCTGAGAGGCAGAGGCTGTTGGATCTCTGAGTCAAGGCCAGAGTCAGTTCCAGGATATCCAGGGCTACACAGAGGAACCCCGTCTAGGAATTAAAAAACAAACAAACAAACAAAAAACTCCAACCCTTTTCCTAAACCAAACCTTTGGAGCATGGCACTTGTGATACTATATAACCACTCTCAGTGAAACTTGATGCAGGTATTTGCCAAGATTTTATAATTTCCACATGGACATTTGCTTCTTGTGAATTGTTTTCTTAGAAAAACAAACATTAGTAGCAACAACAACAACAAACTACCCCCACCCCCACCCTGGCACTGTCTGAATGGTCTGCAGCAGGGTTCCCATGAGGCAATAGCAGCAGCAGTGGCAGGTGTTCCTGTCTGCAGTTATTTTCAACACTTGGACGGCTGACGTCAACATTCATACTTCTTGTTATTGTGGCTTTGGTTTCTGCAAAGCTATATCTGGCTAGCTTCTAGTTTCAGCTTAATCTTCAGAATCCACTGGGGATTCGCACCCAGAATTGTTTAAAAATAGGTTTCTGTGTGTGCAAATTATTTCAGTACCTGCATTGGTAAGAAGTGACAGACACATCAGTAATGCTTCTAATTTTGAACGTAGTCTTTTGGGGCGAAGTCCCTGCAATATAAAACCTTGAGGGAGGTTAATGGAAAAGAAAGGGAAGTCTTTAAGCATCCCATGTCCCAGGGGTAGAAAGTGTGCCTGACTGCTACTCTTACAAGGCTATAATGAAGGTGACTCTCGCCCAGTGTGGCAGAGAGAACCAGGAACCTGACACACAGGTATGAAGGTTGACTGTGAATTAGACCTAAACTGATTGTCAGTGTCTAATTTTCTTTGAGTAATGAAATTATTGCTAAATAGGAAGCTTCTAGAATGCTGGTTTCACATACAATTTCAGTTAGGGATGATACTGAATGCTTGTAATGGGTATAGTTCCGGGCCGAGTTCTGCCCACAGGGGCGTTCTTTGTACTTCTGCCATTATCTCATTTAGGCAACATCAAGACTGCAGTGTTATGCTTGGGCTAATATCCAACCATTCTTCTTTAAAAAGAGGTGTGGGACTGTAATCAGACCTCCATGGAAGCTGGAACATAGTATTTACCTCCATATGGGTATTCTAAGTTGGGACATTGACTCTATTTTCATTATTCTGTTGTGTCTTTGGTTAGTTTGGTGATCCTTTCTGTCTTAACGGTCTGATTTTCAGAAGATGGAGAGAGCTGTATTCCTGAAATGGTTGAGAATAAAAGTGAAAGAGTCAGGGAATTGGAAAGAGCCAAGGATATAATTCAAAACAAAGTACTTTTTCAAAAAAAAAAAAAAAAAAGCCCACCTCTGAATCTGTACCCTCCCCTAACCACACCCCCAACTTTTGCAGGAAATGAGTAGCAGAGCCAGGAGAAGAACACAACAGTCTGCCCTAGCAGCAAAAGTGGCTTCTGTGTTGGTCTCTGAGCTGCTCTGAGGAGGGTTCACCAACAAGCTGTGTTTCCGATTTCCTCTCTGCTTTGCACATTGACAGCTGCTGTGTTTGGTCTTGATTTTCCACTAAAGAGGGACCCGAGAATCACTGCCTAGCAGGAGACATTGTGTGTGGAATATTAATGCCTTGTCTTTTAAGTCATCTTCCTGAAAGCAGAGGAGCCTTCCTAAGATCAGCCTCAGACATCACTAGACTCCTGGCTAGGAAGAAGCTACGAGCCTGGTGTGCTGTAGTTAGAGCTGAATGTGCAGCTTTCAAGCCTGCCAAATCGCTAAACCTAGACTTCTCATATTAGATAATGTGTAATAAAAGACAGCTGTTGCCAGCATATGCTGTGAATTGCACACCAGTTCTCCATTCATGATTTTTCTCTCTCTCTCTCTCTCTCTCTCTCTCTCTCTCTCTCTCTCTCTCTCTGTGTGTGTGTGTGTGTGTGTGTGTGTGTGTGTGT